CCTCTGGGACACAGCAAAAGCAGTTCTGAGAGGAAAGTTTATCTCCATAAATGCCTATCACCAAAAGACAAGAAGATCACAAATAGACAATCTAATGAAACGACTCAAAGAGCTGGAAAAAGATGAACAGACCAACCCCAAACCCAGCTGAAGAAGTGAAATCAACAAGATCAAATCAGAACTAAACGAAATTGAAAACAGGGAAGCTATTCATGAGATTAATAAAACAAAAAGTTGGTACTTTGAAAAAATGAACAAAATTGACACACCATTGGCTAAGCTAACGAAAAGCAGAAAAGAGAAATCTCTAATAAGCTCCATCAGGAATAAAAAAGATTTTCTTTTTCATCTTACTGCTTTTTTTATGATTTCTTTTTTCTTTTTTATTTCAGCATATTATGGGGGTACAAATAGTTAGGTTATGTATACTGCCCTTGCCCCACCTGAGTCAGAGCTTCCAGTGTGTCCATCTCCCAGATGGTGTGCACTGCACCCATTAGGTGTGAATATACCCATTTCCTCCTCCCCCCTCCCATCTGCCTGACACCCACTGAATGTTATTCCTATATGTGCACTTAGGTGTTGATCAGTTAAAACCAATTTGATGGTGAGTACATGTGGTGGTGATTTTTTCATTCCTGAGATACTTCACTTAGTAGAATGGGCTCCAGCTCTATCCAGTATAATACAAGGTGTGCTATATCACCATTGTGTCTTGTAGCTGGATAGTACTCCATGGTATACATATACCACATTTTATTAATCCACTCATGTATTGATGGGCACTTGGGTTGTTTCCACATATTTGTCAATTGTGATTTGTCACAGATTTTAATCTTATTTTCTCAATGCACAAAAATGAAGTGATCAAACAAAGAAGAATACCCATCACATAACCCACTCGAGCCTATCATTATTAGTATATTCTTGCATATTTTTCCAGATCTATCTCTTTGTAACACACATACAAAGTGTTCTTAAATTTTATAAGAGTGAATGACTATCATATATGACATGGTTTATTTTCATGAATATCTTTCCATAGCAATAGGAATTTCTCCAAGATCATTATCAATAATTATACACAAGTTCACTCTTATTTGTATTCCAGTGGACCATATTTTACTTAGTCTTTTACTATGGGACATTTTTATTATTTCTAACTTTTCATTATTATAAACAGAAGAAGGAAAAATGAATTTTTAAAGTGGGAATACATTTTGAACTGAAAACAAAACACAAACAAAATTCCTAACATTAAAATACGGAAAATAAAAAGACTCAAAATAATTTTATAAACTCCCCCAGAGGGTACCATTACCAATACCACTGCTTGAATACTCATTTTCAAACAATTGTCATACAAAATATATTTGAACATTAACTTGACTGTTTAATATTTAGTATTTGTGTCTAATCTGTTTGTTGTATTATCAATTTTAATATGTCAATAGATATATCTCAGTTGATATTTTATTAAGCTTAAGTTTTATCATACTTTACTAATTGAATAAATTAAGTAGCTTCCACTACATTTCTGTTATCTAAACAAAGTATCTAACATGGAAACATATATTCTATGATATTTGAAATAATCCATTAGTAATTCCCTCAGTATTCAGTATATTTTAGATGGTGATTTTGAGAACTGTTTCACAATTTCTCAATATAACATGCCTGTATAGATTTTCAACTTGTGTGAATTTTATAATTTTTAATAGAAATTCACCATTTGTTTGAGTTATTAAAATCAATTAGGAGCAGTATATCATAATTCTTTAAAAAATCTTATTCTTTCTCCATTCTTATTTTAATTTTGGTCTTTTGCCTATTAGATTTGCCTGGAATTTTAAATTGTATATGGTTTATCAGCAAAATCAGCTCTGAGCTTTGCCATTGACTTATTATTTTTCTGTTGTCTAAATCATTTCATCCTCATGTAAACCATCAGCATTTCTAGAAATAATGATCATAATGTTTTATGATCCTTCAGAAGTCAGCCCAAATTTCTAAATTTTAAAGACTCACACTCTGGCCAACACAAAACACATTGACCTATGGAAGAACAGGTATCATAGAGGTAGCATAGCTAGGAAGACTTATTTGTGAAAAAAAATACTGGACTTGTACCATACTATGTAGAATTATTCTAAAATTTCTTCCACCTGTATCTCATATGTTCAGATCTGTGTGTTTCATCTGAATATGTTTCAAATATTTCATATATTGTGATCTTAAATTCTCCTCTGACACAATTGCTATTTGTGGGAAGATGTCTATTGGTTTTTGCATTTTCTCACATGTGAAGTATTTGATTTTATTGTGTTGGATCTTGAGAAACAACATATACAATTTTGGTTGCTTTAAATCTGTTTATTTTTATTCTTGGCATAGTACACTGTCAATGTTTGTGTGTTTTCTGTGGACATGACAGTTGGAATAGAGTGAGAGGAAAGAAAGTTAATGATTTTTGAAGGATCTGCCATATAAAAATGCTTTCAATATTTTCTCATTTAATTCTCCATCACAACGCAGTGGTAAGAGTATTAGCTACACTTTTTTCCCAGTGGAAAAATAGATCTGCTCGATCCCATCTTGAGTACATGACAGTACTGGGACTTAGGATGGGGTGTGTGTGACACCAAAGGCTGCTGCCCTTTTTACAAGATTACAGTGCCTTTCAGGGAGATGTAATTCCTATTAGGGGTGTATGGGGTTTGATATATATCTAATTGTTGTACATTTACTGTATTATTCATTTCTTTGCTATCCTTATTAATTTTTAATGGGGATTTACCCAGGATAATTGGATGCTGTAATTTAATAGTGGATTTTTAGAAATGTGCATTCCCTAGTATCAATCTCATCCAGCACAGTGAGTGGCTTCCACAACTACCTCTTCCTGCTGTCAGCTTCCAAACTTATTTGAGCTCCAGACTTGAGCTCGCAAATATGTTTTTAAAAGCTCAGATTAATGTTTTATCATATCATATTGATATTAGGATGATTAATAAGCATTATATACAGAGCATTTAGAAAACAATGAAAAATAATGAAAATTCTAATTCTGATC